TGTGAGCGGGAGCACGCTCCTTCACTACAGACAGGGGCGGCACCAGGGGGGAGCCAGGAGCTAGCACCCCCGAGGATTGCCAAAGCACCCCCTAAGCACCCCCAAGAAATATGTTTTTGGTTTTTTTCGAAAATTATTATTATTATTTTTATTAAATTAGAAACATTATTGATTACATCAATGCAAATGTGAAACAAACACATTTTTGACCAAAAACATAAAGCCAACACAGGTGATATGATTAGGCCAATGGCCAGCACCCATTCGATTTTTGACCTACCCATAGGCTAAATTACTTTGACACTTGAGTGACTTCCTGTTAGCTAGAGCACCAAATTATTTGCTAACAGCAAAGTGAAAGATGGATCGTTTTTTAGTCCTTAAACGTCCACGTGTGGACACTCAATCAAAACCACCTGAAAGCGAGAGGGATTCTGCACATAATAGCCTAGCGTTGTGAGTAGCCTACAAGTAGCTTCTCTGGTCTCTCTGTTTCATTCAAGCTCTGCTCTGTGTGTGTGTGTGTGTGGCACGAGCCATTTTGTGCGCGAGAAAGAGAGCCTCGCGCACCGGTGGGTATCTACCAGAGATCGTTGTGGTTAGCATCTGGTGCTAGCTAGCCAAGCTAACGGATATAAGGAGCTTTTTCAACAACAAGGTGGAGGGAGAACTCTCTCCTGTCAGACGGAGAGTCTCAGGTAACCTCAGCTCAGGTGAAGTAAAGGACTCTCAGTGTTTAGATACTTAACTGTAGTCTAGTTATCTCAGTGGGTCTCAAACGGTTTGTTTTTAAAAGGGTGTGTGATTTGTAAAATATCCATAAAGAAATAGAAAATCAATGGAGCGTGAGATGGGCCGGAGAATCGGAGCAGCGGGAGCGGTACTGCAGTCGTTTTACCGCACCGTTGTGATGAAAAGGGAGCTGAGCCAGAAGGCAAAGCTCTCTGTCTACCGGGCCATTTTCGTTCCTACCCTCACCTATGGTCATGAAGGATGGGTCATGACCGAAAGAACGAGATCGCGGATACAAGCGGTGGCTGGTGTCTCCCTTAGGGATAAGGTGAGAAGTTCGGTCATCAGGGAGGGACTCGGAGTTGAGCCGCTCCTCCTTCGCGTCGAAATGAGCCAGTTGAGGTGGTTCGGGCACCTAGTTAGGATGCCACCTGGGCGCCTCCCTAGGGAGGCGTTCCAGGCACGTCCAGCTGGGAAGAGACCAAGGGGTAGACCTAGGACCAGGTGGAGGGATTATATCTCTTCGCTGGCCTGCGAGCACCTTGGGATCCCCCAGTCAGAGCTGGTTGATGTCGCCAGGGAAAAGAAAGTTTGGGGCTCTCTGCTGGACCTGCTACCCCCGCTACCCGACCACGGATAAGCGGGAGAAGATGGATGGATGGATGGAAATAGAAAATCTGTTTACAGTTCTGTGTCATATGGATGTTGAGAGATGTATCCATAGATCTCTTAATGTTGCTCTCAAAGTGCACCAGATTGATGCTTTTAACTTCAATATTTAAAAAAATCTTCCCGGGGGAAACATGCCCCCGGACCCCATTAGAGGAGGTGAGGACCCCCCTAGAGGAGGTGAGGTCCACCCCCCACTTGTAAAAATAGCACTTTACCCCTGCTTACACCTATATGCCGTGAGCTGATTATCGAGCCTTGATTGTAACAGTCGCGGGTACACTGTGTGTGCGTGTGGGGAGTGTTGCAGTAGAAAATTCAACTGTAGCGCTGGTGCATTAATGGGAAACCCTTGAGCACCCTCTATGAAACGTCAAGCTACCCCACAGCACCCCCTAGAGAAAATCTCTGGCGCCGCCACTGACTACAGACTATCGCGCCACCTAACCATTCGCCAAAATGTTTTTAATAACAGCGGTAACCGGCGGCCGACCAAGCGCCGGGCAAAAAACAATCTTCAAATAAAAGAAAGTCACCGGAGGAGTTAAAGGAGAGTGACAGGGAGCATGAGAAGAAGAGGGAGAGAAAGTTTCAGCTTGATCGATGGAGTTGGCTTCTATAGAGTGGTGCAGTGACGCGTCCTAAAACCCTTTTATAATCTATCGATTAGATTTATGATTCGAAAATTATAAAAGTAGGGTAGACATGTGTTGATTATCCGGCTGAACAAAACGTGCATTTATCAAACAGGTTTGTTTTCCACAGACCTTATTTCCCGCTATTTTCCAAAACCCTGTGGAGAAATCCCGTTGCTTTTTGACGAGGGAACCAGCAGCTTACTTCCTGGTTTTAGGACGCGTCACTGGCTGCACCTCTCAATATGATGCCAATATAAACAAGGTCTTCTGTCGGCTCTGTACATCAATGCCGACCTATGCTGACAAGTAAGTGAAGAGTCGAAAATATAAAGGTATTGGCTATAGGGAGATGTCCCAGCAGTTTAGGATAATGAAGGATCTAATCTAATCTATAGCCATTACATTTCTAACTCCTAATGACAGGAAGGCAGAAAGTGCATTATACAAATAATAATATTACTCATAATAATAGCAGACATTTTTTAACAATGACCACAATATCATTATTTTAATAAACCAAATATGAATAATTGAGGAAAATGAGGAAGAACTGATGATTAAAATATTGTAGTACAAGTAGTAATGTATTTAGTGCATGAATGACTATTGCAACAAATGTGTTAATTTTCTTCATTATTAGTCGATTTTTTTTTTGGACGAATGCTCCGGGCCAGTGGTTACAATGGTGGGGCCAGTGATAATACAAGTTCACCGGCCCAGAGGAGCCAGTGGCATTTTACCCTTAATGTCTAGCTACCTCTGCGGTAAGTCACTAGCAGAACAATTAATTATTGTGCTTGATAAACAGCTTTTTTTAAAAAGTGTTTATATGTATTTAACTTTAAGCCATAAGAACACTTCTTTAAAAAAGGAATGGTATGCTCATGACACTCATTTAAAAAATGTTATCATCCGATAAAACAGACCAGTCTCTCTTTTTTTTTTTTTTAATCCGATGACATTATCAGTGATTTTAAACTGATTAATTACCGAAATAACATCAACACTGTGGGCGGCGCCATTTTACCGGACGTGACGTAAACCATGCGTTTGGTTTCGAGGACACGTTGATGTTCATGTTATTTACTGTAGTTACTCTCTTCAAATATGCCTCATTGTATCGCGAAACATTGCCACAATTCTGATAGGAACAATCCACGGAATGCTCGGTTCCATTTGTTGCCAAAAGGTAAGCGTAGGAAGTACGTTCGGAGGCAGTGGCTAGAGAAATGTGGCCGGCCCGAACCGAAAGATCCACAGGCGCATGTATGCAGCGAACATTTCAAGTTTCCGGACGACTACTCTGAGAGTATGATAAAACATAACATGGGATTTATTGAACAACCATTACTTAATGGAGATGCAGTACCATCGGTCTTTCTGGTGTCATCACCGACCAGGACACCAGTTCGGCCAGTTGAGAAATCGCCCTCTGCAAGTGTGAAGCGACGGAGGACCAGAAGTAGTGCTCGGAGTAAGAATAAGGTATGTTATGGCGCATTTCCATTGCAGCGGGTAGCCCCGTTTAAACGTCCTTTATCGTCCAGGCCAGGCCAGTTTTTGGTGGCCTTTCCATATAGCGTAGTACCGGCCAGTGGGTTTTTCCGGCCCCATAAAATCGTGGTTCTAGGGCCAGGGACAACGAGGCTGAGTATGCTAAACTAGAGAGGGAATCGCTAGCAAGGGTGGTACTACACGCATACATATCTAGTAATCAAAATCATTGTATCTACTAAGTAGTACTAAGTAGGCTCGAACCTGTATGGCTGAATTCCCCCTTCCAATCTCTTCATATTGCTCAAAACTTCGCCATGTTTTCGTGTGTTTACCATAGACTGTATATGGTGTTTACAAAGTGAACGCATGGATGACGTCACGACCATCACGTGACTACTGAAAATGGGCAAAATGGCAGCGGCCTGACGGAATATACAGGTTTTGATAAAAAAGAGCTATAAAATCATTATTTACCGGGGAATATCGCTGATTTCTTCAGGGTATGGTTTAAACATAATGTTTCACTAAATACTGAAGTTTTGATTAATTATCTAATGAGTGGAGCATTCCTTTAATAGGTCTGTTTCAGTTTAAAGTTGTTTTAAAACATGCCGTTTCAAATAATTAAAGACGAGAAATCGGAATAAAGGGAATACTGAATACATGACCTTGTCAGAAGGAAATTGGTCATATCTGGAGATACACAAAATCTGCCTTTTTATTGGAAAACCTGAGCACACTACTTAACATTAGTCTGACAGCAGCGACATACATAACAGTTTTTGAGCAGCCACTGAGAAGCCTGCATGTAATAACTTTATCAGCAGATTAGAGAAGATGAAGAGCATGCTTCATCATAAACACTACAACACACTCTCTGTTCAGTCATCTAAATAAATGCACATGGAAACACAGGACGTGGTACTAAAGACAAGTTATGTGAGGATTAATCATTTAGTTTTTCATACAAGTATTCAATTTACAGAATACATACTATTGCAAATTTGGATTTAGACTATAATTTATCAATACAGAAATATCGAAATAAAGCTCTCAAAGCTGATCAAGTGTGATTATTTGCTGCATGTTTCAAATTGAAATGACCATAAATAGATTTTCAATCAGTTTCAGATCATTTTACAGAGAATAATCGACACACAAGTGGCAATAATCCTGTACAAATATGCTCTTTTTTTCTTTGTTGTACTTTCACTGTCTGCTTCAATACAACCACGACATACTTATGATTAATGAACCTCTAGGTTGCTGCTCTGTGACAGCTGCTATACTTAACTAAACCAAATCAAGACAGTGAGAAACAAAGAAGGAAACAGTCGTGCTACTGTCAAACATGTGTTAAATCTTTCTAAACATATTTACGACAGTCCCATAGAGGAACATTTGCTTTCAAATCGATTATCAGTGTGTTTTGGCCTCTGGATCAAAGAGCTGCAGTTTACTCACCTCGACTCTTGTATTTCCTCCAGGCAGCTGGGATGTACACGCCAAAAAATAAATAAATAACACATAAATCTTGACACGACTATTTGTAAACTCAAGAACGAGTGTCTTTCCAGAGTGTCCTCATACTAGCGAGCAGAGTTAGGGAAAGAATTGTCCAAACAGTAGGTTTAAAAAGTGCCAATTTACCAGTTTTCAACATTTAGCCTGTATGCTAGGTGCTTGCTGCAGCGTCAAAGTAACATAAGGTGAACGCAACCACATCCGGTTAAGGATTTCAGAACAAGAGTCCAACGTCCTTTAAGTATTTCATTACAATTCAAAAACGCAATATAAGACAACTCAACATAATATATCACATAACTGCGCATATTAGTATAATATGAATTCATAATCTTAATGTAAATTACAATTAATACAATATTTGTCTCCAAATGTGGCGAAATATAAAATAAAAAAATATAAAAAAGGTAGAAATAAAAATACCTCCAAATTGTACAGAAGCTGTACTTGAGTTAACTGCTTCTTATATTGAAAGATGTAGCCCTGCTTATGAGGAAACACATATTTGTAGGATACTCTGCAACTTCTACAGGTGCACCATATTATCCTAACTGGCTGCATCACGGCCTGGCAGCTGCACCGCCCTCAATCGTAAGGCTTTACAGAGGGTGGTGAAAACTGCACAGCAGATCACCAGGACGGAGCTGCCATCCATGGAGGACCTTTACTCCCAGCCGCTCAGGAAGACAGCCCTCAGGATTATAAAAGACCCCCATCACCCCAGCCACAAACTGTTCTGTCTGGCAGGCGGTACCGTACTGCAGCATCCGGACTAAAACCACCAGACTCAGGGACAGTTTCATCCCACAGGCCATAAGACTATTAAACACCTGAACTGTTGAAACAACATCCATAACATTCATCTGCTATATATTTATCTATTTATCTAATATATCATTCCAATAACGTTGCATCTTATTGCTCTTATTATTTCACTATTTCACTTTTTTAAACTAATTTTCTTTTTGTATGTAGGCCTACTATACTTGCACTATATTTTTCTGTTTATCTGTTATTGTGTTGCACTATTGGAGGAGCCTGTGACCTAAGATTTTCATCGGCATAACTACACTGTAGCTATGTTCTATATGTGATATACCAATAAAGTACCTAAATGCCTGCCTGCCTGCCTGCCTGCCTGCCCGCCTGCCCGCCTGCCTATCTATCATAAAGAGTCAATACAACATCTCTCCATACCCTTTTTAAGGCATATCACAAATGCTCTGCTTATTTATGTGTTGTGTCTGATGTTTTCCCACAAAATATATAACATTAAAATGACAAAAAATGACTCCAGAAAAGTCCCTTCTTGTTGTATGTCCGCTGTAGGTTTCAAATGTCCATTTAATTGTTATTGTGGGTATGTTTCATGTAATTGTTTTGTCCTGCTCTTTCCCCATTGTGATTCTACTGTAGTCATGTTCTGACTTGCAATTAACCCAGTAGTTTATTGTGTAGGGTCCATACAAGTGAACTTCCGGTTCTGTTCTAGGTGTTTCTTTTTAACTTGACACATCTGTTCTCCAGCTTCTAATCAGCTGACTAATAAGAGGAGAACACTTCCGCTGTGGTTGTGTATGGTACCTGTGATAAGTCACTATATTGTTATAAACTTGGATGCAAACCTAGATTTAAAAAAACATTGGTTAGTGCAATAAAATCTGAGCATTATTTCAAAATGTATTTTCCTAGAAGTATTTCGCAAGTCAAGTGTGCTTGTTCTAGCAGCGCAGACAAAAGCAACAGAGAGAAAATGACAGAGCAAAGATATATAGATAGTTATGCACCTTTTTTACTGTCGTGTTTGTCTATAGACATTTACTTTTACCACAACCCAATCATAATTATAATTCCCTTTATTGTCAATTGGGTTTCCACATATAAGGAATTGTCTTGGTATATAATAGTGCATAGACAGTAAGAGAAGTTAACATAAAAAAAAAACAGGTATTGAAAAAGCAGCAGTAACAAAGTGTTTTTTAGAGGGTCTCATTATTACTTTTGACTTAATTAAAGGACAAATACTCTCTCACCCACCAGTTTGATGGTGTGAATATATTTGCTCCATTTGCTCATACTGTCAGCATCGATGTTTGTCATCGACTGCTTTGGTCTGAATCAGCGTTGTAGGAAGAAAAACACAAGTGAAGCTAGCAGCCGCATTTCAGAGGTAAGGGAATGAAATACAAATATATATTTAAATATTTTACGTTTGAGTTATACATATTTACTTCATGTTAAACATATGCAGACATAAATCTACGATATATCTGATTTTAGGAGCTACGTTAACACTGGAACTTCTCCACGTGGGTTCAGGAAGCAACGGTCTGTCCTGGTTGGGTGCACTCGATTTGTAATGCAGCGGTTTCTATGCGGGTGGCGTTTGTTGCGTATTGAGTCAATTTACGTTCCAGGAGCTCTTAACTCCGACGACGCGGGGTATTATATGTTTCAAAACAAACGCTCCTCTGACTAAATAAACTAGCGTGCTATACCAAGCTATAAAGCTACTAAAAGTAAGCGTTTAGGTTAATTGTCGCTTATTTCAAAGTATGTATTGGATACTTAAAAACAGGAATATACCTGTAATCATATTAAAGTGACACAATCGGAGATAGAAATTGAACAAAACACTGTATCTCTATCTGGACCACCACAGACACATTACACATAGTTATAGTGTAATCAATACCTAATTATCAATGTTGGAAGAAGAAATGGGAACTTTAACTCAAGTAAAAGTACTAATACCACCGTTTTATAAGTCAAAGTTACAGGTAAAAGTCCTGCATTCAAAACCTTAGTTAAGTAAAGATACAAAAGTATCAGATGTAGCTGGACTTGTACTTAAATTACTGAAAGTACTCATTATGCATATGCCCATTTGAAATTAATATATTTAAATGCATTATAATGATTGAAGCATTAATGTTTTCATCCCTTTAATGTTGTAGCTGGGAAATGTATTACCGTTATATCCTGAATCTGATAGGTAGCTTAATTAAAAGTTATGAATTGGTCATTTAATATATTGTTTAAATATTTAGCAAGATATGGTTACATGAAACTAAAATGACACATTGGATTCCTGTAGGAGTTGTTAAGGAAGCGTACTTGGGTTTCTTGAAAGGCGCTATGTAAATCCAAGTTATTATTGTTTTTCACAGTGTGATTCATTTCAAATCTCTCCTGTTGTTGTAAACAGTATTCAGAATTACCAGAGGCTGCCGGTCATGGGGTTGACCAAGCAGTACCTGCGCTATGTGGCCAGCGCAGTGTTTGGAGTCATTGGGAGCCAGAAAGCCAACATCGCATATGTGACCCTCCGAGGAGGAGAGAAGGGGCGCTATGTCGCCGTGGCTGCATGTGAACAAGTGTTCATCTGGGACGTCCGGAAAGGAGAGAAGGTGAATGATATACAAGTTTTGAATGATCACAGAATAGGTTTGGGTCTCCTGTGAAAAAGCTTTGCAGATCTTACCCAGCGTCTCTCTTTCTGTGCAGGTCCTGATCCTGCAGGGTCAGAAACACGAGGTGACCTTCCTCTGTGCCTCGCCCGACGGCATCCATCTCGCCGTGGGTTACGAGGACGGCGCTGTGCGGATCTTCAGCCTGCTGAACGGCGAGAGCAACGTCTCCTTCAACGGCCACAAGACGGCCGTCAGCGCCATGCACTACGACTCACTCGGGGCTCGGCTCGTCACTGGATCCAGGGTAAGCAAGGAGGAATTTCTTTGTTTTGCTAAAGTATGTTTTAAAGCATGTGTTAAGCATGTTTTACCTCTTTCTCCTCCTCAGGACACAGATGTGATCGTGTGGGACATCATCAATGAGTGTGGGCTGTACAGGCTGAGAGGACACAAAGACGTCATCACTGAGGCCTTGTTCCTCAAAGACAAGAACATCCTGGTCACCAGGTAACACACTAATAACAATGTATTATTACGTTTCTAAATTAAAGATTGTGGACACAGAAAAGTCAAACATATTTTCACCTTACCCTCAATGATGATCCTGCGCATATGTTATTTGTTAAAGGGAAAACAAAGATAAGTATTGTACATTAATATTTGATGCTTCAACTGTCAGGATGTCTAGAATTAGTGTTTGGCAATATGCCCAAAATCCTTTACCGTGTTAAAGGTTATTTCATATATTGATAACAATATATATCACCGTAGCACACGGCATGTTTCAAGTGTAATTCAATAAATACATAGTCAATATGAATTAACCAAATAGCATAGCCCTTTGTTAATAAAATACTATATATATAATTGTTTTTTTCATTTCAAAACCTTAAGAGCAACAGTTGTGGCACTACAAGGACATTATATATTTTTTCTAATGATTTAAAATGTCCCTTTAACTGTTTATAACGTGATGATAGCAGTGTCACTAACCGTATGTATGTGTCTGTGTGCTCTGCTGCAGCTCCAAGGACAGTTTTGTGAAGTGGTGGGATCTGGACACACAGCACTGCTTCAAGACCATGGTGGGCCATCGCAGTGAGGTGAGGGGCTTCATACTCTATATTCATTAACATCAACATTAACAAAGGGTCGGACTGAGGAGAATTAACTTGCATTCACACCTATAGTTCGTTCTCTGGTGCACCAGACGACAGTTTGTTACATCGTTTCATTTTTCAGAAGGTTCGGTTTGCGTTCACACGGCAAAACTGAAACGGACTATAAACTTTAAACACAAGTCATGTGCACGGAAATGCTGTTCAACCATTGGTCAGACATTAAGGGGGTAAAAACGCAAATCCCGGCAATTTCTACCAGAGCCTCCGTCATGGAGCATCGGCACTTTCGGGCAGGTTATTCTCATGCTGCTGTTAATCTGGAGATCAACAGACTCTAGCGGCCCACGCATATGATTATATAATCAGACAACGTCCGTTAAAAAACATTATAACATAATGAGAGACGTTCTGCAGTCAGGAGGGGCGTTTCACCGACGACAGGTGTTCTTACTTTTATGTAGTTGACGGAGCATTTTTACTTTACACGACACTGTTCAACACTTAATTCTGCTTCACTCTTTAACTAAACAACCTGTCTTGAAAGACTCTTTCGCTAAAGATTTTGAAGATATCCGCGTTCTTGTGACACGTAAATACCACGCTTCCTATGTTTTGGTGCGGACTGCGTTCACACCAGCAATGAACCGCTCCAGAGTTCGCAAGCAAGCGCTCCGAGACCACCTATTTTAGCGGACCAGAGTCCGGTTGTTTAGTTCACTTTAGAGGTCTCGGACTGCGTTCACACCGAGCCAAATGAACCGAACCAAGCGGCTAAACTCACCAGGGTTCGATTCAACCGGACTATACAAGGCAGGTGTGAACGCACCCTTAATTGCACAACCCAGGGACCAAATCAGCTGAATGTCATCACGTGTAAACAATCAGTGTTCTCTCACTTCTCACTCTCGATGCCTCTGGCTGCATTTAAAGCAGAGCTAAAGTGGGTTCAGTCCCCTGAGTTTTATCCGTAAAGGTCATTGAATGGTATTACTGTTGGCAACATGATGCGAGTGGAGACAGGATTCATTCATTTAGCTGAGTGGAAGCTGATAATAAGTGGCTCTCCCTGAGGTTTCTCCCATGTTTCCCTTTAAACTGTGGGTTTTCTCTGGAAGTTTTTCCTTGTACGATGTGAGGGTCTAAGGACAGAGGGTGTCGTTTTCTCATACTGATATTCTGCACAAACTGTGCTGTTGTATTTGCTGTAAAGTGTCCTTACTGTAAGGTAATTATTATATGTACAGCACTTTGGCTCGACCAAAAATCTTTTTTTAAATGTGCTATATAAATAAAACTTGATTTGATTTGAAGATCATTGTGATTGCTCTTTGAGAAATAATATGCCAAGCCTTTGTTTCAGCAAGACCGTGATCTAAAAACAAAGCTTTACAAACAAGACAAAACGTGGGTCAAGGAGAAACATAGTCCATTTTGAAGCTAATCTGAATTTCAGGGCCGAACCGCACATTATATTTCACTCTCGTTAACGATTCAAGGCATTTGTGCTGCATTGTTATCATGTCCGTATAAAATGAGGTCCTGATTAGGAAAATGAAACGCCCCCTAAAGTAGGAACAATAACTTGGAAACAGTTTGAATGTCAATATTGTGTATTTGTTTTCCCCGGATGGATTTTGATGAATCTGTGTGTTATTGTCTCTGTGATAGGTGTGGGGCATGGTGCTGCTGAACCAGGAGAGCAGGCTGCTCACAGGATCAGCTGACAGCGAGCTCAGAGCCTGGGACATCGACTACCTGCAGGAGGTGAGGACAACACAGCTGGGGACATTCACCTGAATACATCCTGATTTATACAAAGGAGAAATGGGAGATTAGCTGGAGCGCTGATAGCCACCATGGTTAAATACAGCTTCACCATTCAAGACCATTACAATAGTCATGATTACGGGGTGGGCGTTAAATAATTGTAAACTTCTTCCCACCCCTTTTCGGATGCGTAATTCAATAATATTTTTGTTTATCAATTTGACACTGCTTAAGTTTGTACAGTATAATAATTCTCATGGTTCATGTCATTATTATTATAATCTTTTTGTATTATTGTTTTACACGTTCGAAATGAATCAAATCAAAATGTAAAAATGAAAGAGAAAGTGGTAAATACTGACAGGTTTTGTCCTCTGTCTGCTCAGGAGAAAGCTGAGGGGGAGACCAAAGTGAAGAAGGGGAAAACTCTGCTGGATGATGATGATGATGATGAAGACAATAAGGAAGAGTTGGATGAAAGTCCTGAGGAGGTAAAAGAGTTCATGTTTTTTGGGGGGGAAATACTGTGGTACATGGATTTAATTTCACAGAGCTTTAACATTGTCCTCTCTCTCTCTCTCTCTCTCTCTGTCTGTCTGTCTCTCTCTCCCTCCCTCTCTCTCTCTCTGTCTGTCTGTCTGTCTCTCTCTCCCTCTCCCTCCCTCTCTCTCTCTGTCTGTCTGTCTGTCTGTCTCTCTCTACCTCTCTCTCTGTACCTCTCTCTCTGTCTGTCTGTCTGTCTCTCTCTCCCTCCCTCCCTCTCTCTCTCTCTGTCTGTCTGTCTGTCTGTCTCTCTCTCCCTCTCCCCTCCCTCCCTCCCTCTCTCTCTCTCTCTGTCTGTCTGTCTGTCTCTCTCTCCCTCTCCCTCCCTCTCTATCTCTCTGTCTGTCTGTCTGTCTCTCTCTCCCTCCCTCTCTCTCTCCCTCCCTCTCTCTCTCTCTGTCTGTCTGTCTGTCTGTCTCTCTCTCCCTCTCCCTCCCTCTCTCTCTCTCTGTCTGTCTGTCTGTCTCTCTCTCCCTCCCTCTCTCTCTCTCTCTGTCTGTCTGTCTGTCTCTCTCTCCCTCTCCCTCCCTCTCTCTCTCTCTCTGTCTGTCTGTCTGTCTCTCTCTCCCTCTCCCTCCCCCCCGCCCCCTCTCTCTCTCAGCGGATCCTGAGCTGTAGGAAAGCCGGCTCCATCCTGAGAGAGGCTCGGGACCGAGTGGTGTCTCTGACAGCGGACGCTAAAGCCAGAGTCATCGCCTGCCATGTGAGTCTCCTCCTGACTCCACTGAGAAATTGTAAATTTTTTGAAATACACAGTGGAGAGTATCTTAGGGTTTCTTCAAGAATCATGAAATATTTGTGCCGAAAGCCTATTCAACATACAAAGTGAATACAGACCAAAATAAAAAAAAGTGACTTCCAGGCAAAGTGAGGCATTGTGGTTGGTTATTTCCCTGTTGGTTTTATGGAGATGGCTTTTAATGTCTCCGGCCTCTAATGCTGGAGATAGAGATATTTCACTTTGTTGGTTAGTGTTTTATGAAATTAAAGGACTTTTGTGTTCAGCAGAATTTCTGACTTTGAAATGCATGATCAATATTCGTTTTTTGTATGTAAATAATGCTTAACATTTCTCTGTCCTCCATCAGGGCAATGACTCAGTCCTGGAGATCTTCACTGTGCTGTCAGAGGAGGAAGTGCAGAAGAAAATGACCAAAAAGACGAAGAAAGCCAAAAAGAAGGCGGCAAAGTAAAGACAAGTTATTTCAGTTTTTGCATTTGGAGTGTGTGTGTGTGTGTGTGTGTGTGTGTGTGTGTGTGTGTGTGTGTGTGTGTGTGTGTGTGTGTGTTGTGTGTGTGTGTGTGTGTGTGTGTGTGTGTGTGTGGTGTGTGTGTGTGTGTGTGTGTGTGTGTGTGTGTGTGTGTGTGTGTGTGTGTGTGTGTGTGTGTGTGTGTGTGTGTGTGTGTGTGTGTGTGTGTGTGTGTGTGTGTGTGTGTGTGTGTGTGTGTGTGTGTGTGTGTGTGTGTGTGTGTGTGTGTGTGTGTGTGTGTGTGTGTGTGTGTGTGTGTGTGTGTGTGTGTGTGTAGCTGATGTTTGTTGTGTGTGTGTCCCTGCTGCAGAGCTCAGGAGGAAGCAGCAGAGGAGGAGGAGGCAGCGGTGCCGCTGGTGGAGAGGACGCTGAATGACGAGATCCTCAGACTGACCAAAATTAAGGCGTCCGCCAAGATCAGGTCAGTGAGGAGGAGCGGAAACAGACGGCAGCTTAGAGAGAGTCTTTCTCACTGTCATTCAGACGTACAGGGTTTTACAATTTCTATCATAATCCAATATAACAATTGTCTAATAGTACGTTGGGCTTCTTTAGTGTGTTTTAACTTATTCTATAGATTTTATATGCTTTATTCTATAAACACTCTTAAACCTACATCTTTCTACTGTTGATATGTACATATTAACTGGTTACTTTTTCCAATGTGGAATCAATAAAGTAAATCTAATCATTATTCAGTCATTGACGGTAAAAACAGGGTTATCATGACCTCTTGGTTAGAGCTTGTGACGTTTTTAATTCCCCCCCTCACACGTCTCCTATATATATCCTCAGATGGGTGGACTGCCTGTCCTGTGTGGGAGGCGAGCTGAAGGTGGCGCTGCTGCTGCAGAACAACACGGTGGAGACGTACAGCCTGAAGACTTCAGACAAGATGCCCACAGCCAATAAGACGTCCCGCCTCACACTGGGCGGACACCGCACCGACGTCCGCACGCTGGCCTTCAGCTCCGACAACCTGGCCGTCCTCTCGGCCTCCGGGGACACCGTCAAAGTCTGGAACAGGTGAGGAGAAGGACACATTAAAAGCCATTTTTGCATATGCTTGCCACCTCTATAAGGGTTAACATGGGCTTGCACCATAATGCAAAAGGAAGTATGGTAGGAAGGCAGAGGGAACCATGCTGTACAATAAAGACGTCGTAGCTTGTTCTGAAAAACATCTTCTCGGTACAATCCACCCACTAACAGTCCTTCTAATAAAATGAGAAAGAAAAGTAATTACCTCAAAGAGATGGCTTCAAACCAAAGTTATCAAACTACCTCATCTCTGGAATACTAATTCATTTAAGTATTGTATTGTATTGTATTGTACTGTGGTGCAGCTGAAGCATTGCATTGATAACATTAAGAGATTGCAAAGGGACTACAGCTGAAATGAGCTCATTAGCTAACACACAATTACAATGCAGTCATGAAGGTGAAACACACTATAACATCTGAGTTGTTGTCTGTTTCAGGTCCACTCTGCAGGTGATCCGCACCATGGTCTGTGAATACGCTCTCTGCTCGCTCTTCGTGCCCGGAGACAGGCAGATCATCCTGGGAACCAAGGTAACAGATTCTGCCTTTTTATTGGAGTCTGTTTTGTGTTTCAATGTATAACTTGGCTTGAAAAGACATGGTTGCTGGACTGATAAAGAAAGTCTTGTTTAGTTTCTACTTTGTGTTAACTGAGGCCTGTTTTTCCTGTCAGAGCGGGAAACTGCAGATCTTTGAGCTGGCCTCTGGGAGCCTCCTGGAGACGGTGGACGCTCACAGTGGAGCTCTGTGGTCCCTGTGCCTCGCCCCGGACCAGGTACACCCCCTGCAGAAATCTGTTTATAAATATCCCCTACCGACTGAGTATATGTATTACTGTTACTATTCTTTATTCCCTTATCTATACATTTTCTTTTAATATTATCTTCTACATTACTTTATTTTTACCTATACATGTATCTATTTTATTTAGTTAGTTATTTAATTTACTAGCTAGAACCGGGAGGAGGGGAAAGGGAAAAAAATAAATAAAAATATTGACAGTATAAATGTAAACTCAATAAAAAAATATATTTAAATAATAAATATCCCCTACCATGTCGTACCTTCTAACCAGCTGTGTTTTCTGTTCTCATTTGTTGTGTGTCGTCATTCCTGTAGAGGGGGATTGTCACAGGAAGTGCAGATAAGAAGGTGAAGTTCTGGGAGTTTGAGCTGATAAAGGACGAAGGAAGCGGTAGCGGACAGAAGTAAGTCACCACTCTCTTCAATGTTTAAATATGAGGACAGTTTATTTCGGACCATCCTATGTTTCCTTGCACCTCGAATGAAGTACTCAACTGCAACACAGATCTTCAGATATTGCCTCATGGGACAAAAATGACAGAAGAAATTGTCTAATGTTTTTTATTTTAAGGTTTAATTCAGCTTTAATTGTTATTCTACTTTTTATCTGGCTGTTTACTCAGAGCTGGTAGAAGATGCTACAGTAGTCAGCATGTTCTCACTTCTAAATATGAATATGTTAATTTTAAATCTGTTGCATGTGTTTGTTTCAATTGGCAATATCTTGGCAAAGCACCAAATGCTCAGCAACCAGACTAAGAGACATTACTCATGGTTAAGTATTTGTGTGTACGTGTTCAAGGCGGCTGACACTGAATCACACACGCACGCTGCAGCTGGAGGAAGACATTCTGTGTGTGAAGTTTTCTCCTGACAACCGCCTGCTGGCCGTCTCTCTGTTGGACTGCACCGTCAAAGTCTTCTACACAGACACTCTGAAGGTACACTGCACTGAAATCACAGCATTCATTCATTAAACATATGCATATATTGTTTTGTAACATGTCTCCCTCTCCCTGCTGCAGTTCTTCTTGTCTCTGTATGGACACAAGCTGCCTGTACTCTGTCTGGACATCTCACATGTGAGTACTACAAGATTTAGAAAGCGTTAACCATCAGCTGTTTTTAGTCCACAGTCATAAAGGAGTTACTCCAGATTCCCAAACACATGTGCACAAGCAGTGAAACATGTTTTTAATGATATGTCCCTGTTAAGAATTCCACATGTGTGCAGCCATTGATGATTGTTAATAGTTTATTGGTTTTGATATTGGTCTCAACTTGTTTATGACTATCATGGCATCAGTTTGTGGACTTGACTTGTTCCTAAGTAACCTGTGTGTTTCTGTTAACAAGGACAACACACTAATCGCCACGGGCTCCGCAGACAGGAACGTGAAGATCTGGGGTTTGGACTTCGGAGACTGTCACCGCTCTATGTTTGCTCACGACGACAGGTAACGCCCGTGAACACACGCCCAAAACATGTGTTCTTTGGAACTGTTTTTTATGTAGTGGTGAATTAATGTTCTAGGCTTTTGAGTCTTGTTAACTCTGTTCTGTGACTTCATCTGTTGTCTTCAGAGTCTTGTTAACTCTGTTCTGTGACTTCATCTGTTGTCTTCAGAGTCTTGTTAACTCTGTTCTGGGACTTCATCTGTTGTCTTCAGAGTCTTGTTAACTCTGTTCTGGGACTTCATCTGTTGTCTTCAGAGTCTTGTTAACTCTGTTCTGGGACTTCACAGCAGCTGCTCCTTCATGTCACCGCGCTGTCTTCTCCTCTATCATGTCACTTTTTGTCCTCAGTGATTTTTCTTTTTTTCATATAGCTTTATTTTCAGCCTTTCTGTGTTTTATTACAACCTTCAATTTCTGTCTTTCTTTTAATCCTTAGATATTTTTACTCATGTTTTCTTTCTTCCCGTCCTACTCTCTAGCCGTGGATGTATTCTCTATTTCACCTTTCCACCTGGCTGACTGTCTCTCTCTTCTCCACAGCGTCATGTTCCTCCAGTTTCTCCCCAAGACTCACCTGTTCTTCACAGCAGGGAAGGACAAGAAGATCAAGCAGTGGGACGCCGACAAGTTTCAGCTCGTCCAGACTCTAGAGGTGACGCTTTGCTCATAAGTCTTGATATTTACTAGTGATTGTGAAGAAGTCCCCTGGTGGTTGGTAGGTGCTATGTTTTCCTTCCAGCTGGACATTTTCTTTACCTTTCTCTTGGCGTTACAGGGCCATCATCGGGAGGTTTGGTGTCTGACCATCAGCCCAAACGGAGACCACATCGTGTCGGCATCTCACGACAAATCCCTGCGTCTGTGGGAGAGGACGAGGGAGCCCATCATCCTGGAGGAGGAGCGAGAGATGGTGAGGAGGAGGAGGAGGAGGAGGAAGAGGAGGATTTGACAGTTTTTCCGACTGCTGAACACCATGTCGCTTCTTCTTTGTTCAATCTAAATGACCATGTGTTTGTATTTACAGGCGAGAGAAGCAGAGTTTGAGGAGGACATGGCCAAAGGAGATGCGCCTGTGGTGAGACATTACCTACTAACAATAAAGCATTACGCCGGTCTATTTCAACCAAGCAATGTCTGAGATTCTGTTGTGGGAGATTCAGATTTCAGTCCCTGTAATATAAGCCGCACTCTGGCAGTTATAGCCTAAAACAACTGATGCAGCATCTGTCCAAACTTGACCTTGACTTGTTGGATTCCCATGCAACAGGAGCATCTATAAACAACTTTTGTTCACAAAAAGCTTCCCCAGATCTGTGCGTTTTAGGGTTATGTCTTGTCCTTTGTTCAAAGTATATTCTCATAGACTGTATATAAGAAGTGGACGTTGGATGTTTGGGATGCATTACCTTGTCTTATCTGCAGGTTCCTGGAGAGACGGAAGGAGAGGCAGCACCAGCCGCCAAGAAGACCGTGGAGACAGTCAAAGCTGTGAGTTTAGCATGAATATCATCCTCCCTCTTATTAGTGGATATGGCATGGATGTGAATATTTAAGGTTTGATAGTTTTTAAATAGTTTTGTTAACGTTTAAAGCTGGTTGCATTCATATCATCTGTGTGTCAAAAGTGTGAAAATTGGACTATTTGTTTGAGAATTATCAGTTATTTTTGTTCTTTGTTCTTGTTTTTGTGCGGTCTCTTTGCAGGCAGAGCGAATCATGGAGGCTCTGGAGATTTACCGAGAGGAAAGCAGGAAGATGGAGGAGCATAAATATGCCTGTCAGAATGCAGCTAACAAGGTAGAGACAGGATCCAGTAATCCTACTTTTAATAGTCCCTCTGTTTCTGCCAAACACATTAACATGTGATGTTGTTTTGCAGATTCCTCCACCGAAACCCAATCCTATCCTCGTGGCCTTTGGAAACGTCTCAGTAAGTAGAACAGCGATGAAGAATACACGTTAAGCCAGTAAAAACTGTTCACACAAGAATTCAGGCAAACATACATTTTATTATACAAATTATGCAATAAAAAGTAGTTGGATTTGCTACTATTGAGACATGAGGGAGGCTCGCTAATCTAAACACAGCACTTACATTTTCTCACAGTAACTGAAAAACGGTTTATCAATGTTCAGAGGCACTTAGTTCTCCCGTCTCGTTTTCTCTTCCAGCCTTCCCAATATGTTTTGGACGTCATAAAGAAGGTCAGATCAAGGTAAGATTTGATGACGAGAACAAACCCACAAGATGTTTAACTTTGACTTTACCCATAAAGCTTATCACCACGGTCAGTGCTCTGTGCCTATATTCACCTCGTGTTGTTGTGTGCTCCTCAGTGAGCTGGAGGTCTCTCTGCTGGTCTTACCGTTCCCGTACGTCCCCGAGCTGCTGAGGCTGTTCAACAGCTACATCCATCAGGGCCTGGAGGTGGAGCTGGTCTGCCGCTGCCTCTTCTTCCTGCTCAAGTAGGTGCTCCGCCTGTGTGGGAAAGAGACAAATGGGTTTGCGTTTGGTCATTAAGTAAGATATTTGGGGTCAAAGGTTCAGAGATCTGGCAGCTTGTCATTTGTTGCCACAGTGTGCAAAATATGTGAATTGAAAATGGAAAAACTCCAAAACAATAGGTTTATTCTGCATATTTGAGAACATTTGTTGCACTTTCAAACACTGCCCAACAAGCTAGTTGAATGCACGACCAACTGAGTGTGTGAGAGTGAAATAACATGTCACAGTATGGATTGTTTTTACAGATTGAAACATGTATATTTGGGCGAAATGCAAGATTAAAAAAGTCTTCTATTTTCCTTTCCATCATAAGTCTTAGCCAGTGGACTTCAAAAACGATTCTTTACCAATTTTGATTTTAGTGTCTGAGAGAAAATAACAAAAATATAGTTTTGTCAATGATTAGAAGGGTTTCCAGCTTGTCCATTGCTTATACACTGCTGCTGATTGTTCTGGTGATACAGTTTTGCCCTAACAGTGTTTTTTTGTTTCTTTGAAGGATCCACTTTGGTCAGATCTCCAGTAACCAGATGATGCTGTCCGTCATAGATGAGCTACGGACAAATACTGTTACAAAAGTGCGAGAAATCCGAGTAAGTGAAAAGCTGTCTTTTGTACTTAGTCTTTTTGACTCGGCAGAGATTATTGTCCTTATTACATCTTTACATTTCCTCACATCCCTTTTTCCTTTGTGCCTCAGGATGTGATGGGCTTTAACAGCGCGGCGCTCCAGTTCCTGCAGCGGGAGATCGAGAGCAAGGAGGACGTGATGTTCTTCACCGACGCCACAGGCCAACTGGAGGAGAAGAAGAGGAAGAGGAGGAGGAGGGAGCGGGCCATCCTGACCATCGCTTGAATCTAAATGGACATATTTGTGACTGTTTGTGTGTAAACATCTCCTCCCAGAGGGTTTATCTGTATTGTATGTAACCCTGATTGGATGTAACGCAGTGTTATGCAGTGGCACGCTTCATTTCCCAAATAAACGGTCTGACTTTTTCTCACAGTACTTTAGCTTTTTACAGGGGGTTTTGAAACAAAGAGTGAAATATATTGTGTCTACACAGTGGTTCCCCCTGCAGCTCTCTATACAGGGTGTCCGCGGGGTCTTAAAAAGTATTACAAGTTGATAAATCAATTTAGCGAAAATTAAGGCTATTAAAAAGTAGCCTATTAAACGACATTTTCCAAGGTATTACATTTTGTAGCTTGTTTTCAATAAGTATATAAATGGTCCAAAGAGGTTGTATTCTACAGTCTGCCTGAATGTAATCATTGCGTAGGTGTGTAGTGTGATTCTGTGTAGTTTATTGATGACATCCCGTTGGGTTTGACGTCATCTGAACAGGACATCGCACGCTCACTGCTTGATAGCGCGAAGGTCCGTTTACGCCGGTTGTTAAACAACATCGTTATGGGGAAATGCAAGTCTGCGTCCAAATGGTTGGAAGATAAGGAGGAAGGACAATCAATACTGTATATAGTCAATGTGAGGTCAAGTGTGTCGCCAATGTAACCGGTTAGAACTCAAAGTGGCGATGAGGTCTTAAAATGTATGGAAAGGGTCTTAAAAAAGATCTTAAAAGGTATTACATTAACTTCAGGATTCCTGCATATACCCTGCTATAAAATACAAGCATACGTGCTAAAGCCTTGAATAGATATATTTCATATATATGTCAAAAGCAGCACTGCAGTGATTACCACACACGGAGGACAGCTTTGATTTAAGCTGCGTTCTGTCCTACAGGCCTGAAGGGAGCGATTCGGGCCGGGAGCCAAACGAGCAAAAGATGGTCGTTTCGAAAAGCTGTCACACTACCTGAGCTCCAGACCACCTGGGTTTGTCCCAAAAAGCAAAATGTAGCTACTGGCTGAGAAAGAAACTCCCTGATGTCCGCTGGCCTCGCTGCAGACGTCCTCCACTAATCTCAGGGAGATGGATCTTGACTTTACAGCTCTTGTAACTCGGGCCTGAATTTATAGTCCCAAAACCGGGTAGATGTGGTAAACATATTTACACACAGCGGGGGAGAAATGTGAACAGTGCAGCTTTTTTTCCCCAGGTGCCCGGCCCTCTAACCATGTGACCTTCAGGAACGTTTCACACCCACATCAGACACTTCATTTTCCACAAGTGCGTTTATTTCCTGACCGTGGGGCGCTGTGGAATATTGAAATGAACCCTTTAAAACACCTCGCGCTCACTTTCTTAGTGTTTTAATCTCACGGCGGACAAAAAAACAAATTAACTCTGTATTTACAGGGTCGTTAAAAAAGGAGGCCAGCAGCTATTTATGAGGCTGGATTCGGTCTGCAGGCTGTAAATGTCACACCTACCAAAATTAAAAATTCTTCAGGAAAATCCCAGACCGCGCTCTGACAAACTCACACAGCATTTACACCGCATTAGCACCAACAGATTCATCATCACAAAGTTAGAGGAAAAAGTTTTGTTGAAGTGAAGGATCCTAAATCTACCATTGTGTGCAAAATACTTCTATAATTGTTACATTTCATGAACTTAACGCGAGGATACAGAATGAGATATTTTTAAAATCTAAATATTAAATCACACACATATGTTCTTTGCCTTTCATCGTGACGCAATGCAGCGTAATTGAACCATTTCTCTCACTTCAGTGATTTTTAATGAATCATCTGAGCTTAGTGTTTTTACAGTGTGTTTAGCGGTCACCAGTTTAACTAGCAAGCCAGTCATTTCAAAGCTCGACTCTGATCATGTTCAGCCTCATGCAGTGCTGGAACATAGAAAAGTACATTATACAAGTAGGCCTACATGGAAGATTGTTGCTCAAATGATTGTTGTTTTACATTAACCTGCCCAACGGTTTATACAAGAACAGCTGAAGTTACAAGTTGATTATTCAATTAGTCCAGGGGTGCCCAACCAGTCGATCGCGTTATTATATACCGTTATTAATCAGCTCTAAGTTTTAGGTTGTTTGAACTTATTCATTATAATTATTGTACAAAATGGTATAGAATGCATATGTTCTGTTTAAATTGATTATAGTCTATTATCAATTCAGGTTAAGAAACTAGTGTCGCTTGCATCCTATTTTAAAGGCATTTATTTGTATGCTCTACTAAAATGCAACAAAAAAAGGGTTTGATTCTATTAATGTTGTCTTTATTGCACTTTGGCAGCAGATTCCTGTGTAGCTGCAGATCTGAGTTGTCTTATTAGTAAGCCTCATTTATATTTTTGTAGCAACACTATTTTTATATCATGGCAAAGAAAGGGTTCAGAGTCTTTTCTTTTTTCCTGTGTCATATGTGGCAGCACTGTTCAATGTGTCTTGAAAACATTGAACACTGTATGTGACGTGTGAATAAACTCCAACTCTGTATCAACAACACTGTTGTGTAACTTCAGTTAAATACTTGTATGTGTGTAGATTAGAAAGAGGTAAGATAAAGGATCTGCAGTATTTTATGAAGTATTCATCGTACAAAGGACAGTTTTATACAAGTAGAAGTGTGTATTAGGCCAGTGCTTCTCAAACTTGTTTCAGTAATGTACCCCCTTTGAAACATTTTCTCAGCCGAGTACCCCCTGACCGACCCCGAACATCTTTGATAGAAAAAGCCTATATACATAATTACAATATAGTGATGTTCCATCAGTGTGTGATTTATTAACTCCTTCATGCATGAATTACAACAAATTAAGGATTTTTTCATCTTTGTGCATGAAAAAAAGGAGTTTTTAAATTGAAGTAATATATGTGTTTACAAACCAATGAACACAATGATATATTATGAAAAACTATAAAATACAATACACACATTTGACATGTTTATATGAGGACCCCCTTGGTGGTTCTAGAAATATTTTATATAAAATTGTGTTTTCTATTTCACTTATTGTACTAAAATTATTTTTGTAATCATGCATGGTATTTTTTTTAATTAAACTTTTTTTTAATTTAAAAAAAAAAATCTCACGTACCCCCTGCAGTACCCCAACGTACCCCTAGGGGTCCGCGTACCCCCATTTGAGAATCACTGTATTATGCTGTCAGTAATGGCTACGCCTCTCTATTTGGACTGGTAAATCTCGGCAGACTGGCAACTTTAAAAGTAGCTCTCGGTTCAAAAAAGGTTGGGCACCCCTGAATTAGTCCATTAAGAGAACATGTATAAGCAACTATCCTATCCGAATGGCAAAGGAAATGATTGTTCAAGCTTCACACATCTTTGACTTTTACTTAGAGTTAACACAGCAAGTTTTCAGAACAGGCTGAAGCTCTTGATATTCAAGTTGTGTAGAAAACAACCTCAAGAACGTTTCAAAGTACTTGACATGGTCAAAACAAATTACATGGAAATACAATGTTGAGTAAAACAAAAAAGACACGACATGTTGGAAATAAAATGTTGTGGTCAATTTATTTTAAAGTCTTTTGTCATGATGAAGTTAAAGTTTTGATTACCAGTTATTTCCGAATGACTTTTCTCTTTAAGATGTGTTTACTCAGTGGCTTTACATGGACTGAGACTGAGACTGACTTGAGGTCCATAAGATCCTCATTCAATGTCCTTTTGGTGTTATTGTATGTCTCTCCTTTCTGGGACTATTGGGAAAGTAACACTTAAAAGTAAACTAACAACGATTGGATGTGTATTAAATAACCAGTGGGGACTTTTCGGCTCAGTTCTCTTTTGCATTTGTATTCCCCTAAAATGCAATCTACAAAAATAAAGTTGTTGTGAAGCGATTCAAAAGATGTCACTTGAATGCACCACCATGTCAGTACATTGCTTTGAGTCACTAGATGGCAGTCTTGTCTTTTCTTAAACAAGCTCCAACTTTGTCCTCTTTGGTGTTCTGTCTGTTTCCCTGCTCCATGTTGAGGGCTCACACTCCTCTAGACACCTGCTGCAGCGCTCAGATCAGACAGAGGAGAGACACTCAGAGGCACTCGGAGACACTGAGAGACACTCAGCGGCACTCGGAGACACTGAGAGGCACTCAGAGACACTCAGAGACACTCAGAGGCACAGAGAGACACTGAGAGACACTCAGAGGCACTCAGAGACACTGAGAGACACTCAGAGACACTCAGAGGCACAGAGAGACACTGAGAGACACTCAGAGACACTGAGAGACACTCAGAGACACTGAGAGACACTGAGAGACACTCAGAGACACTGAGAGGCACAGGGACACATTTTCCTGCAGACACCATGTGTGTTTGTTAAAGAAGCATCTTGACTCCTGTTGAAACATGACCTTTAATAAACAACTCTTTCAAATGAAATGATTAAGAAAAATACATTTATAATTGTGGCGTAAACAGTGTAGATTAGAGTGTGTATATAAGTAATGCATCCTTTTCCTCTAAATATGAATTAAGACTGCTTACTGCCATAAAATATTTAGAGGAGTTTTGTAGGTGTTATCTCTTCTTCAAAAGCTACATAGTGTTAATTATAATGATCTATTTTAGTTTCTTTAATTACTTTTTTAAAACGTAGTTAAATGTGATTTTATGATGTGTTGCTATTGCACTTTGAATGTGTTTTGCGAAGCACTTGTGTTAAAATGTGCTATATAAATAAACGTGCCCTGTGTTACTCCTTACACTGTTTATTCCAAACAAGCCACCCACAGGACAGATGCTTTCTCCCTGGAAGCAGAGCCCCCCCCCCCCCCCCCCCACCCAACAGCACAGTGTTATTTTACAGGCTGTATTTGCATTAGGTTTTGACGGACAGGAGATAGTGTTACTCTGTGGTGCACGCTGCTATAGTCTGTCATCGTGCGCTCTGCTGGGTATTATATACTGCAGGATACCATCAGCCCGAGCTGCTGACTTGATTTGGTGGCCGGTGAATTTGATACGAGCTATAAATGTGTTTGACCCCCCCACAGATAGATGCTGTTGGCAGTGACAGGACTCCGGTTACAGCAACACTGACTCTCTTCGCTCTGCAACTCTGACCAACTCAGGAGGTGTAAAAAAAAACAAGAGGAGG